AGTATTCCTCGGGGAGGTGGGATCCCTGCATAGAAAATGTATGTTAATCGCTATTGACCAACTTTTTTGTATTGACTTACAAAAACATCTATATCACCTTACATATTAATGGTTTTAAAGTAATGCATGCATGTGGAATTATATTGCGCTATGTGACCTACCATACTTGGAGAACAGCTCTGGGTGTTTCAGAGGAAGCTCAATAGTCTCTCTGATGACATCCAAATGGCTGCTGAGCCCACCAATCATACTGTATGTGACCTTTGACCTTTGAGCTCCTGAATCCGGATGCTCCTGTCCTGCTTTGTCTCTGAAACTGACTTTAGTGGAGCAGGAAAGACAGTAAAAGATGTCACTACTTTGTGCACCACCAGAGGGCGCTGTGGGGATTTTCTCTGCTTGCTCTGCGCTAACAGAGCCCTCCAGACTGACAGCATCCTCTGCTGATCCTACAGGAGGATTCTGGGAGTTGTATGAAAGAGTATAGGGACCAGGGGGTGAGGAGAGAGAAGGGATGTGCGCTGGTCGGCATGGTGTGCTGGCTGTAGGCCCGGGCTCTCCAGATGTGCTTGGTGCCCCGTCAGCATTGTTGTCATCCACAGTGAGCAAGCTGAGCTGCAGCGAGAGGTCGGCTGACGTGGAGTCCGCTACCGAGTTCATCACGGAGGATTCTTCTGTGTCAGGGCCCAGTCCTGGAGGAGGAGCTGGTCTGTGGAGGGTGACACCGTCCTCCCCTCTTATGGTCTCAACCCGGAAACTGCATGACCGGCCAAAGTAGGACAGGGAGATGACACTTCCAGGCAAAATGATGTTCCCAACTGGCACAAGACAGACAAACCAGTAGGGTTATTCCACCAAAGCAAACAGGGCGGTCTGGACAGTAACACTGAACATAAACTGAAATTCAAAACCAGGACACAGCCAAATAGGGTTAATGTACAGGTCTTAGAGTCTGAGGTGTATGGGTAATGGGTGAGAAACATTACTTCATGTTTACTGCAGAAGGACAGAACAATAGATACCAAAACAGCAGCTCATACTGTTGTCACATTTAAGACCTCATATTACTATAAATACGTATATACAGAGCAAACTATTGTAAATAATTCATAAATGCCCCAGATCAGCTTCTGTATTCGCTAAAAACATTTCTCTATTCTCAGTCCATCAGAAGACTGCAACGCGTTTCCAATTTAAAGCAGTTAACTTAAATAAATAAAAAATTTAAAAAGCTACATACTCAAACTTTTCTTTGGATTTTCCTGTTCGGTTACAAAGTGACCTTCATTATGACCAGTGACAGCCAGTTATGTTTAATATTGCATTTTGTACGATTCCCAGCCTTACTCTACTAAAAGTGCTTTCTACTGAGGTGCCAATAAACATGCAACAATGTGAAGAAGTGACTGACTTACCCAGAGACCTCAGAAAGAAGTTCTTGAACTCATCTGTCTCAACTGTGTCATCTTTTGACCTGAATGAAAGTTATATGGATGTTAAAATCAACTACACACATTTTCTAAACTATTATATACAAGATATACATAACATACAACTTTGTTTAACCAGGACAGTGCCCTACTGACTATTCTAGGAGTAGCACCACATAAAACATAACACATAGTTGCATATAAAATAGACTTATAATGAATAAAATATGAAAAGATTCATGAAGGCTCGCAAAATACAGAAGATTAAGCTAAGTAAGTAACAACAATAAATATATATGTATTATAACAAGTAATATTAAAAATGTATGCCATAGTTAAAGATTATCACAAATTAACGCATAAAATGGATAAATAAAATCTATTTTGGCATTTCAGCTGCAGTTACGAGGATGACCAGCAGATGGTAGTCTTGACCTGAAATACACAAACTTTGTGAGCAGTATAAAGTTATTGTTGCACTGCAGTACATCATTACATTGACTTAATCACATATCACTTCATTAGCTTTTTGTATGGGGATTTAACATTTCATATGCAGCTATTCATGAATAAAATTTCTATAGAAACTTTTTTTTATTTTATTTTACTAATAGCGCATTTTTATTTCTAAACTAAATTAAAAAATATAGTCTACCTTTGTCTTAATCTACCATTGATTAAAAATGGAAAATATTAGAAACACCTCTTAGTATATCACAATAAAATTCAACTGCACAACCATTTACAGCTTGCAACATAATAATCAATAACCTAATCAATCTAAAACGGCTTAAAACAACATTATAAACTTCATGAAGGTAGGATTTTTTGCAGCGTTGTCGTATTAGACTGCATAAGCTAGGTGTGGCTAATAAACTAGCTGAGTGAAGAATAAATATAATTTAGTATAATATGAGGTACAATGAGAATATGATATGATAGTATGTATATTACATATCCTTTAGGCTTTTGGTTAATGAGAACATGAAGGTTACCTGTTATAGAGAACCACCTCCTCAGCCTGAAGCACAGGTCCTGTTAGTGGGTGCAGCATCACCTCATCCCCTGACTTCACTCGGAGGTTATTCTGAGCACATTTCTGAAGGCCAACTTTTCCACCAGGAAAGGAGGCAACCGGCCATCCTAAACACACCTGTAAGACAGAAGAAATAAACAAAGTTTAAGAGCTGCAAATTATTTACATGCAGCTGAAGGTCAGGAAGGTGGCATCCTGAGAACAGGAACCATCCATCAACTAAAGGTTCAAGTACAGTAACACAAAAAAAAAATACGTTAGTCAGTGGAGTTTTAAAATAAAAGTATAACTAAATATCTGACAGCCATACTGATGAGAAGAGAAAAGAAGAAAGAGACGACGACACCTCTTGTTGTCCCGTGGGACTCGTCAGTAGGACTGGTCTCCCAATGCATACGCTGGCTGACTTCATTGAGTTGAGGCTCAGTTGGGCTAAAGTTGATCTGCAACATTTGGGTGTTTTGTCATCAGCTGGGAGGAACATTAAAAAAAAATATGATGTGAAATCGTAACAAAAAAGTAACATGGTAAAAAAATAAAATAATAATCACTCCACATTCAGACTTTACTTAAATCAAAGTGTTTGCTGTAAACGTTCTTTGGTATCAAATATTAATTCTGAGGAACGTTCCTGATTAAATTATCAATGAACATGAAATCTGAAAAAATAATATTAATTTTGTAAAGTTGTAGCCTGTCCAAGTGGTTCTCAGTCTAACTACTTCATATACTACTGAGTTGATCAAACTATAGCAATATTAAGATTTTATATGTTAAATTCTACAAGGTCAACTTTTCCCAATTTTACAAACCAATTAAATAGCTGCTCTGATAATGGAGAGCATTTGATTGGTGTTAGCATACTGGAAATGTGCTCTATTTTGGGTAAATGGTTTAAAAGAAAATTTAAAGTGTAGGTCAAACTATTGTCCAGTTAGCTATTGAATGGACTGGTCAAACAGTGCTGTCTATGAGCAGTGGGAACACTGACGCATAAACATAATACTTTTTATTCACAGGCAGGTGTCCATGTATATATTAATACATGCATTACTTGCTGTAACTCATCCTTCTGTTAATACTGGCAATTAAGAGATTATTTCCAAACGGACATAATCCACAGTCCTCTCTCTGTGCAAAAATACATTTTCAAGTGCAGCAGGTGTTAATTCAGTAGTCTGAAGTAACCAAATCAAGCAAATAAATTCCAAAGATACAGGTATATTGTTGGTATTTAAAATGCCCCCTCTGAGCTGCGGTGGAGAAAAAAGTAACACAAATGAGAATTTCATCCTAAAAAGACATTCACGTGATTTGTGTGGATGAACACCAGCAAATAGCCTCTGAGCTGAAAGCCACTTTCGCCTCAGTCATTTTAAATTCAATGTGCCTGAGTAAAGAGACATAACTATGAAGAAGGTGTCTCTGTCGTTGCATGCAGATGGAGCTGCACAGGTAACGTTACAGTCACAACAGCATTTCAGCATCAAACATCAACACGGAGCATGAAGGACCTGCAGATCGGTTCATTCGTTGAATGCATAACGTTACGCTAAAACTGAACAATGTGCCAAAGACTGAACTACATTTTTAGGTTTATGTGCTTAACGTTACCTTTTTCAATGAAATCGATGACAGTGAATGAGCTGCTGTTTAAACTTTTGCAGCTTCCTCCTTCGTGGCCGGATGTTTGCAGGTTGGAGAAGTCATTGGAGCCCTCCTTCAGTACGAGTGAACTCTCCCCGTCACTCGCTTTTTTCGATTTGCTTTTATTTTTCTTTGAAGACATTTTAATAGTGAAAAGCTTCTACACGTGAACTTGCCAACATGTGTAAACATGGAGCGGTGTTGTAAACTTCCTGGTTAAAGTTTAGTCCCGCCTCCCTTTACCGTAAACCCTCGCATATCTGACAGAAATTTTACTGCAGGCGACATCCTTTTTTATTTATTGCACTGTAAAACATTCTTAAGGTGTTTTGATAACATAAATACCACTAACAACTGATTAAAAAAAGGTTGGTTTTGATTGGCGAAATGCTAACTTTAAGAGCCTGAAACTAATCTGGCTTCGAGAAAAATCTTGCAAAATTGCATAGAAAAATCATACACTTCTAGGTTTTCTTTTTACCAGGACGTTAAAGTACATCATTCAATATGATTAAAGGTATGGCAATAAATATTAAACTGCAATCTTAGATTCGGCATATGTGACGGTCCACTATGGAACAGCCTCGCTACCTTGAGACTATCACACATAAGCCAAGTAACGTTTTTAATTGTTTTAAACTTTTACTAAACTTTGATTTTTTTTTTAGCTTCGTTGCACCAGATGACAGCTTGAAAAAAGTGCGCAAGAGAACCATAGATGAGCAGTATTACGATTTATTTTTAACCGGTTAGAAATGGTTAATTGTCAGATGTGTGAATGAAGTTTGTCGTAGTACGATACCAAAAGAGACCACACTGTTTTTGCGATTTTATCAGAGCATTACGGTGTTTATGCAACTTCCAGGGCGGACCTTTACGTAACTGTACTGCGCTGCACGCATATGCCGGTTGAAAATGGATCAAATATTACGTTTAAACAGTTGTTAATAGTAGCGTAATAACATGGCTGTCTGTGCTTTTGCTTTGAAGCTTTTACCCTCGGTAAGAGGAGGGTTTAGCAGACGAGCTTCTTGTCCCGCACGCTCAGCTGTCCGTGCGTTTATGTGCACTGCAACTCGTTGTCAACTAGACAGAGTGGAGAGGACAAGTGCTTTGACAGGAAAAGTGGACCGATTCGGTGGAGTGACAGTGAACCTGGCTGAGTCCGGTTTACCGGCGGACATCAGCGAAAGCTCATTCAGCAGTTTACTGCAAGGTGTGTTGTCCTGATGGCTGCTGAGTGTGTGAGACCGAAAGGATCTTGAAACAACGCACAGGTCTTCTCATCAACTCACAAATCATTAACCTGCCTCAACCACTAACTACTAACTAGAACAGTGGATCTGTAATGTGAAGTCAGCTGTTACACATGTGATCATTGGAGATGCACGCGCATGAATGCATGGACGAGTTGCTTGCAGGGTTTCCCAGCGTTTCTCGTGGTTCGGCATCCAGTGTTTGTGTATTGCTAAATGCAAACATCCCCTTAATATGTAAGCCAGATGTCAGTGTTTTTGTCCCATGTATCTGCAGGTACATGTTTGTTTGACACTAGTTGTTGGTCTATGTGGCCATGCAGCCTTACACAAAACACACAAAAACGTTTTTATTTGTTTTTAAATTTGCAGCAGTATGTATTCAGTTAATTGAATCCACATATTAATTACCTCCTGTAGTGACTAAGGACCATGTGATGAAATATTGTGGCCAGCGGTTATGTTCATCACTACCCTACAACCATTTAAGTATTTATCTCATTTTACTGACAAAGAAATAGAAGTGAGCCACCCTATGTAGGAAAATTAGACATCTGGTGTCTTGATCAAAGGTAAAATGACGGTATTCATTAAAATTAGAGGTTTTTTTTATTAATTATATCAGCAACTAACTATTATTTTTTATCACAGAGTAATCTGTCAACCAGTTTCTTTGAATAATCATTTAATTGTTAAGTAATAAAATGTAAAATTTGTGAAAGACATTTGTGAAATTGCCCTCCCCAGAGCCCAAGGTGATGTCATTAAAATGCTTGACCAGTTCAAAACCTTAAGATATATAATTTAGAGTAATATTAAAGAGAGAAAAGCAGCAAATCCTAGTTTAGACTAAGTGGAAACAGCTCAATGCCTGCATTTTTGATTACGACTAATCAATAAACTGACTATCAGTCTGGGATTCCAACCTTCCACTTTAAAGGGGGGCCCTTCCTTAACCTTCAGGCTACTTCCACCAACTTGTTTCTGTTGCTTGTTTCCACAGATTAATCATGAAAAGCAATCATATTTTCTGCAGTTTATTATTTAATAAAGCAGCAACATCATTAATAACACACTTTTAAACAAAGTTTGTGGATCCTTGTGAACTTTTGTACTTGTGCAATCCGTAGATTCTTTGCTCCAGTGGAGAGCAGAGGGGAAAGTTGCAGTGTGGCTTCGAGTACCCATCCAGCTGAGTCGATGCGCTGCCGCTGCCTCTGCTCACGGCTTCACCTTCCATCATGCCAAAGATGACCACGCTGTGTTGGCCCTCTGGTTGGGAGAAGGGCAAAGCAGGCTGCCAGGGTTTGCAACTCACCAAATTGGAGTGGCAGGTAGAGATTTGATAACCTTGTTCTTGGCTTTGTAAATAGTCGTGATCTCACCTAAAGGTCCACTTCCTAGTCTTTATTAGAGTTTGCTCAGCTTTCATGGATCTGATGAAGACCGTAAGATGCAGTTGAAAGCTCTGGGGAAAAACAATGAAGTTGACCATGAGTTAAGATTATCTTGTCAAACCAGTATAGTTACTGAAGAGGGATGTCCTGCACGAGTGTACACACAAACATTCATTGTATAGCTTATAGATAGACACAAAGTCCTTCTTTGTGCCACTACCAGAGAGTCCAGCTCTGAGCCCACCACTTAGCCAGCTCTCCTCACCAGTCTGTCCAGTCGACCAGTATCTCTCTTCTTGCTGCTTCCTCCCCAGCAAACTACAGCATAGAAGAGGACATTGGCCACCAAAGACTGGTAAAACATCTGGAGCAGTTTTTTGCAGATGTTGAAGGACCCCAGCCTTCTCAGGAAGTACAGACAACATCCTGTCCTTCGTGTCCTTCAACATCTGCGAAAAACTGCTACAGATGATTTACCAGTTATTGCAATCCAAGATGTGATGTACAGTACTTAGCAGCCAGAGTTGCCAGATTTAGCTCTTTCAGGTATGACAGCTTTACTAGCCTTCGAATAGTTTTCATTTTTCATAATAAAATTAAATCAAAATAGCATTTGATAGACAAAACATTTAAGTGGAATATTTCAGTCGAATGTCAAAACACAAGTGAGATGAAAAGATTAGTAGAATAATTGGTTTTCCATTCCAGGTGACAGAATGATGATAATTCAGAAATTAGTCGTTAATCATCCGTCCTTTCAAAGCAAAAACTCCAAACATCCTCTGGTTTCAGACTCTCCAATGTGAGGATTTGCTGATTTATTCTGTTTTTTGTTGTTGTTGTTGTTGTTTTTATTGTTTGGGGGTTTTCTTTGAGTATTTGGGGGATTTTGATTACATACAATCATTAGTTTTAACCAAAAAAAACATCAGTTAACTGACATGGATATATACATGTATACAGCTATGAATGATTATATCATTATCATAGCTTAAGTTTTAATATTTGACTAAACTTAACAAGAGGCCCTCTGTCTATTTGTTAAAAATCTAGTATCTTTTGTAAAGAGGTTGTTTGTCTGTTGCATTTGTCAACTTTGGCCCATTTCACTTGCGTAAATGGAAATTTACTCAACAGGACTGAGAATGTGGGGATAAGAGGGAGAAATGTAGGGAGGAGTTGCTGACCTTCTGTGTGCTCATTTTCTGATTGTCCAGCAGAGGGCAGTGTGTCGTTTATACTTTTTGCAAAAGAGTGGATTCACTTGAATCATGTCAGAACATGTCCAGAGCATCCTTCAGAATGGAATGGGGCCCAGAAACTCCCTTTTTGTTGCCAGAATGCACAAACACTGATGAAACTAAGGTTAGGAATCTGAAATAGGCAGCTATTTAGATGATCTAATACCTGTTCTCTTGGGTGCTTGCTGCTCTCAGCTTATCATTTTGATAAAGACAACATATAATGCACAATCACAGTGTAATTATGCATTGATAATTAATTAGTTTTTACATTGGTGTACAGAGATCCAAGGGTTTTAACCTTTACTACAGTATAGTTTAGTTTAATCAACCCTGCATTAGCCTAATATTTTCAGTGTTTTGCTACTTGGTTCTTATTGTCTAAAACTGAGCTTAACATGGTATTCACTACCATCAGTTTAGAGGCAGTGGACACAACAGATGCTAGAAACAGATTTGCAATGGAATGGATTAGGGAATGGAAATATGATCCACAGAAGGGTTTTAAACTGTCCAACATGAACTCAAAAGTGGGTATTTTGAGGTCAACGTGATCCCCATTGACTGTTAAACCCAGAGACTTAAAAGTTAGCCCAGTAACATTTAAAACTATCACATTGCAGCGCATAGCGCTTTAACATTACATCGAATTCACCAATCACACACATTCATAGACTGAGCCTAAGTGCTCAGACAGGGGCAATTTGGGGTTAAGTATCTTGCCCAAGGACACTTCGCCACTCCCCAAAGTTGCATATTCAATCTGCAGGTTGAGTTGTACTGCTACAGTATGCTTACAGTGGGATGTGGAACGTAACGTGTTTAGTGAGGTCAAACCAACAATAAGTCATATACAGGTTTACTGGTGGAAATGAAGCAGAGGTGATGTTGGTGAAAGAACCTGTCTGAAAATTAAGAATGAAAGATCATTCTATACCTCAGAAAGAGTAGTTTGACAAAATCAGGTGGTTTTCTTTGGCAGATGGACCTTAATGATGTGACAACAGATGATCTTATTATGGGGAAGATCATGACCTCTGTCTCTGTCCAAGGATGGTCTTTGGTGTCGGTTCTGAACCTCCTCTTTGATGTTCCTCCGGCCATCCACTGACTCCTGGTCGATGACCTCTTTGACCCCTTTCCAGTCGACTCATTTTGGTCTGGTGTTTAAAGACAGCTGATGTTGTCTGTTTCTGGTATTCACTCAGTCTCTAGTCGGGGGTTTCATCAATGTAGTGTTCCTTACAGCTGTTGCATGTGATATATGTGATATGATGTGTCATAATGCACTCCATTGCTGTATGACATGTTTGTTTGGCACCATTGAACTTAACTGTGTCCAGCGGAGTGCTCATGTTCCCAATCTCTACAATGGCCAAACGTGTTGGTCACAGAGACTGTACTCTATCCAATCAAACTGGGCTAAACACACCCAGATGTTAACATCTGTCCTGCTTAAGTGTCCTTTAGTATGATACTGAAATCCTGCTAGCTCCACTTGACCTCTGACCTCTCAGGACAGGGTCAAGAACTTAGAGCTCAAAGGAATTCCAAGGAATTATAGACTCCATGTTTACGTGATTAAAATGTCGTTCACTATAATTAATACTGTTTAATACGTATAGGTGGGATTCTGAGAACAAGTATGTCCTGCAGTATCTCAAGCTATCCACCCAAAAAAATCAAGTTCCTGGACATCACAATACTAGTTAGAATTCTGTAATGAAATTCGGATGCATTGTTAAGTAAATGCTCAGAATGACTGTCAATCAGAACCGATCAGATTTCTACATTAGCAACATTAAAAGCTAGTCAGGACTGAAGGGTAAGAATCATTGTGACTTAATAATATTCAGTAGATATTTTAAAACCCGAAAAGTAGGAGGAGAAGCCTACATGAAATATGAATTAAGAGAAGACATCAAACTTTGGTGGTTCAGAAAACCAACTCTAACCTCAACGATTAACAGTTTTTTAACTTCAAAAACCCACAATTCCCCTCTGATGATTGCTTCTGGGCTTTTTGTCTCATAATTCCTATTCCCTTTTTCCCCCTCCTGCTCCTTGTGAGCATTTTGTTTCCTGGAATGAAGGCTACATAATGATAGCCTCCCTTAGCAGCAACCAGACCTCCTCCTGTAAAGCCCCATATGGCACAGGGATTGGAGATGACATCAGTTTCCACATGGAAGTCCAAGTCAGGCTTTAAAGACGACCCATCCCTCTTTACACATCTGTGACATTCATTTTAGGGAGGAGTGTCCCGGTCGGTCAGACAGAGCTACCGGAAAAGAAAGTAGCCCGTTTTTCCTCCCCCTACTCCTCCTCCTCCCGAGCTGTCAGCAGCGGCACATAGCCGCCTCTCTTAGTCACTACCTGCTGAAAAAAAACTGCTCAAACAGGAGAGAAAAATGTAAATGGTGAGTGGGATGGCTACATCATTCACAAGTACAGCTGAGTCACTTGTACTTTGTTTAGACTCCGGAAATGAAAGAATTTTGCCTTTACGCATAATCTATTTTATTTTAACCACCTAGGTTCAGACATCGACATGCTCTGTTCATGTTCACACATTTACTATTCCCCAGATTTTATTTTTAATTTGTAGTCCATATTTTTTAGAAAAGTAAGTAAGTTTGTCGATATTTACTCTAAATATAGTGCTGATGTTAAAGTGGCTATTTTTTACCAATGACTACTTGTGGGTGAAAGGTGCCACTTTTAGTGACAAACCCAGAGAGAATTTAGTGTGTCGAATCTAATAATAAGTTTGAGCTAGACAGGTCTCCCTTTTTGTTCTTAAATTGTTCTTACAGTAACTATCTCAGTGCTATCTCATTGCAAAATGTGCACATATATACTGTGGACATAAGTGCTTGCAAAATGTTTGATGGTTGTTGTTTTTTTCCCAGGTGCAGTTGTTGATGAATCCAATGGAAAAGTTCTTGTTGTCCAAGACAGAAACAAGGTATCTTTCTCACGTTAATGTTTGAAAATAAATTATAACCAATTGTAGTCCATTACATTGATTAATATCACTTAATTTAATTAAATTAAGATATAAATTAAAGTATAAAGTTTTATATTTAGTGAATGTTTGCATGTGTTGGCTGTAACAAATAGACGTGCTTCCTTCCCTCAGAAAATAAAATCTAGAAAAATAAAGAATGAAAATTAAGTTAATATTTTCGATCAGTAATACACCATATAAAAAGCAAGCTATGCAAGGTACAAAGTAGATTTATTTCATTTTACAACATAGGGTTGTATAACGTTATAATAATAATAATAATAATAAGCTTTATTTATATAGCACTTACCAAACAAAGTACAAAGTGCTTCACAACAAATCACACATAAAATACAAAAACAAATAACCACGTGGGTAAAAGATACAGGGGGATAAAATACAGAATAGAAGAACAAGGATCACAATAAAGTATAACAAATATGTTCAGTAGGAGGTAAGAAGACAAGCAAACAAAGGGCAGGAATAGTAAAACGAGTGGCAGCTCAGATAAAATCTGGATATGCTTTCCGGTAAAAGTAAGTTTTTAAAAGAGATTTGAAAGAAGAAGCCGACCCTGCCAGCCAAATTTCCTCAGGCAAGTCGTCCAGAGCCTGGGGGCCCTGACAGCAAATGCTCAGTCACCTTTTGTTCTTAGTCTGAACAAAATCAAACATTATATAATAAATTATATACATTAGATGTGTGGCATAGAAATAAAACTATTTTAAATGGTGCACATTGACTGTATATAGTAGAGTAAGTTGGCAGAATGACACATTTCTCATTAAAAATCATTTTTGGCAGGTAGTTAAGGCAAAAAGAGCTAATGCAACACCAGATATCTTGGTGCTGCTAAAAATGTCTGTGATTAGTTTGTTTATTTAGTGAGTTATATGTTGCCCCTGTTGATCCAGACGTGGGTGGAAACCCTCTCAGACCTTCAAATCCTCTCACACTTAACATAGCTCTACACAACATTAGTTGACCTGAAGCAAACATGGTGTTTACATGAGCTGAATGCACTGAAACAGCTTTGTGCGTGTGTGTCTGACAGCTCTCACAGAGCCCTGCTGTAGTACTCAAGTTGTTATGAGGTTGACTTACAACAGGCCCCTTTTAAAACCTTTTCTACACAGATTTGTTTGCATCCTCACAGAGCCAAAACAAGATTGCAGCCAACTTAAAAAACTGATTGGACCCTAATGCTGCTGTTTGGAAAACAATTATGTTTTAAGATACCAGCCAACTCCACTTGACATTATTGAGGCAACAAGTAAAGACCCTTTCAAACAAACTGTGCATTTTTATAACCTAAACAGTAGAAATTGCCAAAATTGTCGCAGTGAAGGCTGCAGCTTCTGTCCTTAATAAAAGTCTCAAAATAATATTTTGTCATGTGACCACACCCTACACTACTGCTAAAGCTGCAAAAAACTTAAAAGCACCCTAGGTCAGAAAGTGCTGGCATTGTGCGTACCCATGTAATACAATGTACACCAGTATAGATCTTATGCACAGCAGTACTGCAGGATCAGCTGCCTTCACACATAAACCCTTAACACAAAGCTATTTAACTGAAAATATTTTAACTGTCCCATTGCAAAATACACTAGCACAGGGTTTCAGTGATTTGTAAGGTTAAAACCTCAAGCACCTTGTTGTATACTACCATGCATAACATTTTCCCACTGATAGTTTCACTGCATTGGCAATTTATTGTATCGAACAAGAAAATCATGTATGACAGATTCTGATATCTGTGTAACTTAAGATGAAAATAATAGTTTAGAAATAATTAGTCCCATATTGATTAGTCAATAGTCAAAGAAATATTACAATTTAGATTTGATTGGGTTTCTGTAAATAATATCACAGAGGACGGTCTAGACCTCCTATTTTATGAGCGCTATGAGATAACTGTTGTTGTGATTTGGCGCTATATAAATAAAATTGAATTGAATGGAGTTAATAGTTTGTTACATAATCTATCAAGTTTAGAGACACTTTATAAAAAAAACAATCAAAAAATTGTGTAGCTTCATAGATAATTAAAATAATCTGTAGTTGCAACACTGTGCATCAAAGAAAAGAGTCTGAACACATGTGCCATCACTCATTGTCAGGGCTGTCAGTTTAAATCTCTGCTGGAAAGAAAATAAATATCTGCCTCAATAACACAACATAAACTATTATGATTGAAGACTCAGCATTGTGATTTATCTACAGGATTTATCACACCAATTATTTGCCCCCACGCTATTGTTGGTCAAGATCTTAGATCTTACTCTCTTCTAGTGTTATCAGGCCATGCAGGAAGCCTTGGTTTCATTCTTACATTGGGGTGGTGAAATCTCAAAGACATCTTAAAACCAAATCTAGCACACATAAAGATTATAAACGTTTCTGAATTCATATCATTTAAATCATTCTATGACATTACATTTGTAAGGTCATGTGCAATAATCCCTTTAATTTGTGGTCTTTCCACTTATTTCTCTTCAGTCTCTGCAGTTCAAGTAGTAATAAGCTGAGAAGGGACACATGGTTAATGTAACATCTGGTTCATATGACAAATATAGTTCACATTATAACTGACAGAATTTAAGTGGGCCTGTTTGCTGGCCTTTCATTGCACACAACATGTAACATGTGTCCCAGCCATGACTTTTAAGAGCATATAATGTATCTTGATGGCTTTTGTACAGAAGCAGAGGGAAGCAGTTAGTGGCCTGGAAGAGTTGGGAGGGTTTTATCTCTTCCTCTCCTCCTCCTCCTCCTCCTCCTCCCCATCAAGTTGTTTACTGGAAATAGGTTTTATAATAGTCTGGCCCTTGGCAGTAGAGCGTCTCTGGCAGACTGAGGCAGTTCAGAGCTCATGAAGGGTTACGAACTTCCTGAAACGAAACAAGGACATTATTGCTCTTACATCAGTAACAAAGACATCTGACAGATCCCCTGTGGACTGATGGTAATTTCATCCATCGGGGGAGCTGAAAGATATAATGGGTATGATTATCATTTAACCATCGTCCATTCATATTTACACATCATTTCCCAGAATATTTAGTGTCAAAACTTTGCATATGTTTGGCATCCTTTTCAAGTGTTTTTGATGTTTTTATTTTCACATTAAGCTCTGACATCTCCTATGGGGAAGAGACATTTTACTCAAAAAAAACCCCACACTGATTAGAGTTACAGAAAATCTCTTTATTTCTTCCTACTAGCACATATTAGAAGCAGTTCCAAAAATATAGCATTTTGTTGACAATACATGAAAATAAATGATGTAGTGCATTTGTGTTCCTCACAGAGAGGATTTGCATAACACGAAAAATCTAAGATGAAATAGCATTTCTGAAAAAAAGCGCTGCATACAATATTCTTTAAGTAACTACAAAAATATATATATACAACACTGACATCATAATTTAACTAGCAGCATACTGTTATTAAATATCAATGATAAGTGGTGAAACAGTTTTAGAAGACACACTTCACTACATCAAATGTAAAAGAGTGAGGCACTAAATATACAACATAAAATGAAAGGATGCTCAGGTCAGAGTAATAAACATCTCTCTGCCTGTATAATTATTAGTTCAGATACATAAAATAATCATTTGAACACATAATATACTACTAACTTGCTGTTAAAAAAAACTACTGCCATACTGTAAGATAGTGCCACTGATTTAAAGAACTTGCAAGACAAAAGTTACTTTAAACAGGACAGCATTGCCAGATTTTATGTTTCAAAACATTTTTTGAAGTATACATATGTTGAAATGACTCCAAGATACATTTAGAGCAGTGCTGTTTTAATTAAATCAATTTTAACTTTAGCTCTTGTATTTCAGACAAAAAATGCTTGGAAGTTCCCCGGTGGCTTGTCTGATCCAGGAGAAAATATCGGTGAGTGTCGCGCTCAAAAGAGAAAAAAACAAATACAGTACACCTAGCTAAATCCTTCCATTTATTATACTTAAAGATGATACATATACATTCATTTGAACTGTACAAAATAAGGCACATGATGTGTACGTAAAGAATTATTTTTCTCCAAATTCACCTTATTTCATTTTTAAAAGCAGCTTTAATATTCTATACATGACCCAACTCAAAAAGCAGCGTCAACTGTTTGTCTTTTCAAAAAATATATGTATTTTCCCTTTTTTTCCCACATCTCAAACTTCCGTCTGCAAGGTGACTCTGACAAGGGAACATAAAAATATTCCTTTTTGTCAGGATCTATTAAATGACTCCACCTACATTTATTTATATTACAATGAATCTTTCTCAGGTGCCACTGCCGTTCGTGAAGTCTATGAGGAAACTGGTGTTCGCTCTGAGTTTAGATCTCTGCTCAGCATCCGGCAGCAGCACAACCACCCTGGCGCCTTTGGCATGTCGGACATGTACATCATCTGCCGACTCATCCCGCTCACCCACGACATCAACTTCTGCACTCAGGAGTGTCTGCGCTGCGAATGGCTGGACCTCGCCGAGCTGGCCAAGACCAACGACACCACGCCCATCACCTCGCGCGTAGCCAGGCTCCTCCTTCACGGCCTGGAGCATGGCTTCCGCAAGATTGACCTCACCATGGAGGAGCTTCCTGCTGTCTACTCTGGGATGTTTTACCAGCTGTACCACAGGCAGCTTTCTCCGACACTAAAATCCTAGCAAGCCATCATCAACCTGATGGGGTTAGCATATCATGGCTTGCTGTGTTGATACATGGTCAGTTTTTCTCATATTTGAAGTGTATTTATGACTTGAATTATGTTTGCAGTGTGTTTCACACACTAACTGTTACTGTTAAAGAAATGTGGTGCAATAGGCTGTGAACCTCAAGAACATTCACTTTGTGGTTTTTAAAGAATTATGCCACTGTGGTACGTGCGAGACTTCAGAGTTTTATACAGTTTATTTAACACATTTTTAGCAGCCATGTTGGAAGTCCACCGCGGTTGGGCTATGGCTGCAAGCAGCTGATTTAATTTTTGAAGGTACTGTTATAAATTCTACTGTATTTTTGGTGTGACTGTGACTAGGTCATTTTGTGACCTGTATTGAGATTTCAGATTTTCAATAGGCTAACTACCAGTGTCAGCAGACCATATACTGTACTGGCAGAAGCTAACGTTAGTGGCTAGTAGTTGCTATATTAAAATTGGCTGCCTTGTTAAATTAGCCTACTGACTGGTCATAAAAGTCAAAATTATCATTTTCTTCAAGTTAACTGCCTGTCTGCAATAATTTTGTATTTATAAGCTATATAACTTCCAGTGCCATGCAACATTTGGACTTAGGGGAATATAGTTTTATCAGAAAATGAAGCTGAAACTCAGGAGGCCTGTTTGTTCTATTAAGTGTGCCACTATGCTGGGTAGTGTGAAAAATTTGGAAAAAACTAGAAGCTTGGGTTTTGATTTTAGTGTGATTTTTAGTTATTTAGTTCAATCCCATCTCTTCAATTTACAATAATTTGATTTTAGTGAATTTGTTTAAAACATGTATCCTAGATAAAAAAGGGTAAACAGAATATTCTTCTATATGCTCTTGTAGCTAAACTCAGACTTACACACTCTGAAGCTAAACAGTAGGAAGCAGACTTCTGAACAAAAGGTTGCCACTTTGAATCCTCTCAGCCAGAGAGGGAAGATCTGTATAGGTACAATGAACAAATAATGCTGTACTATAAGGGTACACTTGAGCAAGGCACCTGGCTCCACTTGCACTAGGGTAGCAGTTGGTTGGTCCACAGTAAAAGCCTGGTTTTACTGCGAAGTAGCCAGGTTTGAATGTGTGCCACTGTTTTAAAGTGAAGCTGAATAAGAGTAGACATGTTCAGGATAAAAATAACTCTTAAGGATATAAAAGTCAGAAAGCATCACAGCTATTTTGGGCAACGTTGATGGAACACTTTGTCTTCATTGCCGTCACATCTTCTTCTTTGTTGCTGCCATTAAGACGTTAATTTTTCTCAACCAGATCCCAGATCAGCACTTGGCAGACATTGGAAGAAAAAGAATGGCCTTTTGACCCGGTCCAGTTTTGCTTCCAGACTTGTACTGGCCAGTCCGCTTCAGTGCCACGTACATGTTTGGGTACTTCCTGGAGCGGTAGGTGTTGTAGTTGTTGCTCTCAAGCCTCTCTAAGAAGTGGCATTCATCTGTTGCTCGTCTCTAGAGAGAAAGACACAGAGGAATAACAGATATGTTTAATTTGATGTTTAAAGGAGATTTAAACAGGAGAGATGGCTACTGGGAGGATTAAATCTGCAACCTTTTGCTCACAGGACAAAGAACTGTTGGCACACACTGCCATCCCATTTAGCTTTCAAACTGAAGAAATGTAAGAAAACCGTGAAACTAGTCTGTAATGTGGTGTAGGATATCCTGTATGGTAGTGCTTTCATCCTCATTTACTGTATTTCAACACATGGAAACTGAAGTTAGGTCATTCAGTTTGTACGTTTAATATAAAAGTCTCTGTGTTTCTTTCCAAAATTCTAATAATCATTTATGAATAAAGTCAACCTGAGGGACATGTAGTTACTTACGTAGTGGAATCTCATCAAATATTTGATTAATATATGTTGTTGAAAATGGAGACTATGTGTAATGCTGACATTTTATGACAATAAATTACACATTAAACACCCAAAATTAAATGACACTTTTATTTTGAATTAAGAGTGTTCATTTTCCTTGAATCAAGATTAAACATTAAACATGGAGGTGAATGGGCTAAAGTGTTAAACATGATACATTTGAAGAATTTAAACAGAGAATAAATCCAAAAACTAAACAGATCAAGATGTTTTGAATAAACTTGGATTGATAGGATTATAAATCAGAAGGTGTGAAAAGGTCCAAAGATGAAGATCACTAAAAATACAAACTAAATGATTTGGTTCTCAAGCTCTCGATCTATTAGTGCTCACACTGCCCCATCTTTCAACATTGTCCTTTTGTAGAAAACATAAAGAAAACATTGATGACTGAACGTCTGGCCAAAATCTCACTGGGCGTTAACTGCCCTGCACCCTGTCCAACAAGAGGCTTTTGTTTTAGTTTCTGTTTTTAGTCGACTGTGACTGCAAGGCTACGGAGCTATTAGTCAGAAGACATTTTCTTTCAGCTGTAACAACCACCCAGGGCTACTTTGTTCAGTGCAACAATCATCTTCCCTCAGTACTGAAAATGTGCAACAGTAAGGATAACAGCAGTGGAGGTGCTCATGTTTGGTGTTATTTTTTATTTTGTTGCAGTTGGAGGACTACTAAACCATCGATCACTTAAGCTAGCACAAGACTTAACATCGCTAGATATGCAATATGCAGAAGGTTCCCAATTAATTGTCCCAGTCTTTGATTTAAAAAAAAATCTATTCTGTTATCTAAAGTACAAGAAAATAATATTTTAATTAATAATATTTTAATTAATATTTATGAAATATATTATTAGATTATTTTGTAAAGAATATGGGTGGAATAAATATTGAAAATGAATCCAGCCTTGTACAGATCTTATCAGCAGACCAAATGACTATGCTGACTTAGTGGTCAGTGGCAAGAATATATCAGTCAGGATCTGATACATGACAGACCACACACCAGACACATTATATCAAGAGGGGAAAAATTGTAATTCCTTTGGCAACAACAAATGTTAATCTTCATATCAGTCAACAAATGGTAATAAGAGACTTATCTTGACATATCTTGTGGGTTTTTAATGGTTTTCTACACACAAGCAGAACAGAGGGACGCAATGGGTGGCAGCTGCTGTAGCTTCTCATTAGGAGGAAATGCTTTTTGTCAATTACATGGACTGTGTACAAGCTTTCACAACCACCAACCCACATCAGTCACCAATGCTTCACACTTCCAGTGCCGTTGTGAGCAACAACACTGTGACAACAGACCAGCAGCAGTGCCAAATTTGTGTTGGCTATTTCTCTTGAGCATTCGGAAAATTGTTTTAGATTAGTGCCCAGCGCGATGAGGATTTGTTCCTCACTATTCATTCATAAATTTCAAGCCTCACAATCATTTATGGGTTTTTTTTCACGCTCTCAAAACTATTCTCATTCACAAATTTCAACATGTCTGGACAATAAACAGCCTTCCCATGTTTTATGAACCAATCAACTGTGGGACGCAGCACCTTAAATATCTTTGTTTTCCTGTCTTTTGTCTCTCAGACCAAGTATTGCTCGATCCTCCACCTTCCGCATCACACCCATTAATGTCAGGCTATCCCCGGAGATAAAAACAAAGTTCATAATAGAAGCCTGCAAATACTAGATGTCACATCATTCATCTACTTGCTTAGAGTCTTGGAGAAAATCCTATATCCTTTTTTCCCCCAAGTAGTGTAACATAATGTGATTTGGATTTTAATACTCGTGTCGGCGTTAGCATGACTCGTGTCATAATTTTGTTGCCCACAGCTGCTTGGCTGAGACAGTGTTAACACTGAGGACGAGACTCAAGAACGGAAAGAAAGACAAATGGTTTGGACAGATTGGAGTTGGGGGAGATGCCTCAGTTGGAGCCAAATTATGGTCAAAACAAACTGTAACTACACATAGATAGAAAACAATTTCTTCTCTCACTGAATCACATTAATCTATAACAGAATTATTTTGACTAGGCCCAATCTAACATTTTATTCTATATGCTGACAAATGACCATCAATTTCCCTTCACTGGAGGAGGGTTGTTTGTGGAGTGGCTGGTAAATATTTGGTTTCCAAAATATTGAAGCTGTGGGAGGAAAAACCCTCCGACCGGGCCAGAGGCCTAACTGACCCTCACTCTCACACTTTGGATGTAACTGTAACTTAGACAAAGATGAATTGTGGTCCTTTAGTTGTAATGGTAATCTTCAATGAGACAATGACTCCAGTAAAACTCAAGTTTAGTGATAATTTCAAACAGGGGCAAATATCCGTGTATCCGAGCTGGTCCCCGGAGCAGACTCCTCAAACTCCATATTACATTGGTTGATATGTCTTGTCTCGCTCCTCCTCTAGTGGGTCATATGGCAAGACCCATCTTTCCACCTCCACATCCACATCCACACATAATCAATATTAAAACAATAGTTTATTCTACCCTAAAACACTTCTGAAGAAAGAAAACACCTCTAAATAAACAAGACTCAAATGTGACATCATAAAAAAACATCATCTTGATATTACCAAAAAGTGTATGTGCATAAGACAAAAGAAAGTTAACATCAACATCAACCCAAGCACAGGTTTGTGTGTTGGGTACTGTATCATATGATGACCTTCAGAGCCATCAGCGTTGAAGGCCACTTGCAAAGGCCCGTTGTATTTATGTGTCTAATCTTGTATTTTATCAGGCCTGAGTACAGGTGCAAGGAACATTTTGTTAAAAATCCATAAAGGCCCCATTGTCCCTCTGTCGACTATGCAATTAATTTTAGTCTTCACCCGAGCCTCCTACACGGCCTGTTAGCAACACCGTTTGGCTGGTTGTGTGTGTGTGTTTTGTGAACAAGGCTGAGCAAGAAGACTGCACCCTACTAGAGTAAATAAGCATCTGAAACATTATCATCTTTAATATCTTAAAAATGACCCTAGTATTTAGTAGTTATGAAGCCAGGCACATGGAATATTCAAACATCATGGCTAATGCTAAATAAAAAATCTTCAACAAAGCCTAAATGCTGCTTCTGGCAGTGAATTAGGGTAAATTTACTTTTAGCCAACCGGAAGAAAGTTACAGTAGGTGTTTAATATATGTTTGTGGAAAGGACAGTCCCTGAATAAGTCTTTGAACTCTTTCAGGAAATTCTAATTGATGATTTCAATTACTTGCATTTACAGTAATCTCAAAACTCTTTTAAATAAAAAAAAAATAAAAAGTTAACAGAGAGTTGATAATCCCACTCACTCACCGCTCCAAACAGTCGTCCGTCTCTGTTCATGGCCAGATAGCGGTTAGCACAAACTCCTTTGATGACAACCTCCCCCACTGAGGTCGCCTGGAGTTGAAGCTTTACTGAGGAAAAAAACAAAAGATTATTTGGACATAAAGGACAGAAATCATTTGTTTGTGTTTGCTTGTAGAATGTTAAGTGCCATGTTTAATATATCTATTTTTAAAAAAGATAAAGGATGCATTAAAATCCTAAGAACTGCATTAAATAACTAAATCACCAGCATCTCTTTAGATGCGAATGTACAATGTTTTAGGGCCTCATCAACCTCTTTTAACTCTGTAATATAAAGTCATTACTCAAGTAGTAAACAAGTAACAAGTGAGACAATCATGGTCAAAAAGAATAGCAGCCTGTGATAACTACTTGCTTGCTACAGGGCATTTATGGTTGGGCATTATGTTGCGTGCTAAGTATTTGAATTTTGGAGGGAAGATAACACACAACAGGAAGAGGAAATGTTTTCAGATATATTGGTACTTAAAGCTGCATTAATCAAATGAAGGGCACTAGGGGGCATCGCAACACAAACAACCTGACAGATCTTGTAGAGGAGACCAAAAGGTGACATGTTTTGGTCTCCTCTATCTCCTGAGAACAATATCTGTCTCTTTAGCTAGTGGATGCTTCAGTTTCCAAAATTGCTAGCTACTAACTTTATCTGCCGTTTGGTGATGGGTGGTGGGTGAATCTGTAGACACCTCACGTTTCGATTCGGATTCAGGGAGCTACGATGTGAGCTATGATGTGATCTTGATTCATAGAAATGTTTTTTTTTTTTTCTCACTTTGGGACTATTTGCTACTATTAAAACAGCATATTTGTACTTCCATTATCTTTTAGTTTAATTAGACAAGTTGAATTATGAGTATAAATGCAGTAATGCTTTTCTTTTGCAAACATTAAACATTCAAGGGTGGGTCATTGGCCTTAATTCTTACTGGAAGAGTTAAAGCACTCAAATACTGACATATTGTCAGTTGGTAATGCTCAATCATAAGACTCTGACCTGTTGATAATTCATAATCTGCAGCTTGTGCTTCTTTATACAGGGCAGGCACAAGGGACTGACTAAACTGCACACGTGAAAGCACGTTATAGCAGGGCTTAAGCACTTTGACCATATGCCATAAGTCTCTTTTTGTCTTGTTCCGCTAATTGGCACATTTGGGTGATGCTGTCGTAAATGAAATGTTTATTTATGTATCACTGCTGAGTTGAATTTATACTGGGGATCTGCAGTCTCAGGTATATTAGCAGCCACCCTGAGAGCTCCGCCTCGTAATGTAATGAGAGCTCAACAGTGGTTAATGACTTTTCTGCACTGACACATAATCTTTCCATCTTTCATGAGTGAATCGTGCTGCATCTTAGAATCGATATTTAACCCCACCCCTGTTGTTTACCAGAGTTTGTTTGCTGAAAACACAACATGGATGAGAGCAGTGAGAGTGAACCATATAGCACATGTAAAACATCCATAAAGCTGCAGAGTTAATGAAAAAATATGGATTAATGTAGCTTTAAATGTTTTTGGAAAAAGTATATTCATTCTCTTTGTATAACCCAAAAGCCATCAGCTCAAAATTCCTTCACCTCCAGGCACATCATTTTTAGGCTAACATTGGCTCACACCCTATTTGGTAAATGAAGGAAACACTATTGAATAAGCTAACTCCGGTCAGGCGCTAATCAGAAGCATCACACTGTGGCTGACAGCAATCTGAACACACAGTACCTGTTGGCTGTGTGACAGCCTCTTCACAGATGTAACAAAATAAGCCCCACTTTTTTTTTGTAGAGACAACGCTGCTTGCCAACACAGCATACCTTGCATGAAACCAAACCAAAAACAAAATAACAAAACAAAAGGGAGCAGGGGCTCCATAAGGTAAATTATGTGAGCTGTTCAGAAGTAATTTACAGTAAGACTTCAGACAGACACACATCTGTCTACAGTTAAGTTTAATTCACGTCACAGATCAAAGAAGTGTTCTTCCCTGAAAGAAACGTATAATTGGTCTGAGTGTGCTGTGGTGTGTTCAATGTTTACTGGGCAAATTATATTTCAGCTATTGTGAATACAGGAAAACTTTCCCTCAACTGTTCTTCGGGCCTGTGGTGTGTAGTCCTATCTGTAATGTCCTTGCATCTGTGATGTAAAATAAATGATTTGTGGAAACCTATATGGTCAATATTCTTGTCAGATTTGGATACAAAGTTTTGGGTTAGGGAGTGAGATACAAAGAATACAAATGTGTTGGAGTCCCATCTACATTCTCACAAAAAATCCCACTTGAAGATCCTTGGATATATTGGTTTTCATTAACAGTTCCAATTCGAACTGGCAGGTATGTTTGGTTGTCTAAAATGTTGGCAGGAGTTTTGCAGCCTTAACAAAAGGACCATTGATGAAGCACAGCTCAGGTCACATTAAATGTAAGAAACCATCACGGTAAAAAGTTAAATGATTAATACTGATTCCTGTTTTATGACTCATTGTGTATATATTCCTTACCAAACCCATAATACAGACTGTATGATAACTAGAATAACTGGAAGTATTTTTAATGCAAACAAAATAAGCAACTATCATCTCAAAAAAGGTAACTCTCCTGGTTTATTTTGCAATAAATCTAACTGAATGTAATTGAAGATAATTGAATTATTCAAAAAATAGTTCCTCTCTCCTTGAACTTGTTCCACATCAGTATGTGTTTGCACGCACCTGCTTGAAATGTCACCCTGTATCTTGGGCAATACACTTGCCTCTACAAACGTGTTTTCCTCGGAAAAAATGTTCCCCCTTCCTCCCCTCCCACTTACTTACACAACTTAGGACACGCACTTATAAGTAATAAGTGATACAGAGGCACTGAGGGGTATAACAGTTTCCACTTTAATAGTTGCTAACTTTAAGAGGAACTTTGGAAAAGCCAAAACTCCTCTCACTTTCTATATAAATACTGATTGACTGGTGGTAGAGATGAGTGACGAAAATATACACTATAGTAATAGCATCATTTTTAGATCTAGTACTGGCAGAAGTTCATTGATCTCCTGACAGTCACCTCTAAATCAGGAATTCACTTATTCTGGCGGTTAACTCCATGTTGTGCTGTCCTGTGTGACGTAAACCACACAGTGAGCAGTGTGAATGGCTGTGACTCAGCATGGTTATTTACTAAAAACATCACACATATTCCATCAAAGTTCCCTTCGATTAAGAAAATTTGAGGTGTACTTCTCTTAAACTACCGTTGTTATACTTTCCAGAAGCAGACCTACGCACATTTTAGAGATTGCAAATGGAGAATGAACCACAGTAAGCTGGGAAATTAACATTGTTCCTCCACGATTGCTTTTGCTTCACACTTATGTCCCTGTTACATATTAAAAAGAACATAAAGAAGCTTTGTGTGATGTGCAAAGCAAATTAAAAGGGGACTGGAAGTACTTACTGTGGGGGTCGTTCTTCTCCCGGATTCCATCCACTCCCCCGTCAGACTTTATCCTCAAAAAGAAGCCCCCGTTTTTACAGTACAGCCTTTTGGGATCCTTGAAGCTCCCAGGAGGAAATCCGCCGCTGCCGCCATCGTCAGGTGTGGAGGGAAGTGTTGTGATTTCTCCTGTGGCCATCTCCTCCTCTTTCCACGCTTCCCGGCGACTGCTTCGTTTCCTTCTTGAGCAGTGCAGGAGCCCCACTCTGGCCTCCCACCTCCCACTAACTGTTGCCTGTTCCCTCCTCCCCTCCTCCACAGAGCTTCACACAAACTGATTCTGCTTAACCCCAGAGGTCAGTTTGCTTGAACACCCCCTCTCAGGGCAGCAAGTGCCCTTTGAGTCCTAAGAATCTGAGGCAGGACAACTCCTAAATGATTCTACCTAACAGCAAGCGTCTAAAACTACCATTTGTAGCTGCTCGGCTGTTGTTTGCAGAGCTGGCATCTGCTTTGCCAGTGTACTTTGAGCACACTGGTATGGGGGATGCATGCAGATCCCCCCTCTCTTCCCCTCTTCTTGCAATGAAGTGTTTAAAACAGGGCAGCTGGCTTAGATCTGTGTGGAAGGCTTTCCCCTTTGGGCCTCAGTTCGCATGCGCCCTAGGAGCACCAACACACACACACATACACACATGCTCACGCCCACTAATGCTCACCGATTTAACCAACCAACCCAGCAGACGTTGAGAAAGGAGAGGAGGGCAAAGAGGGGGACGTGCAACTTGGACTGTGTCACTGAGACCCTTTAGGGCGCCAAGAGCTGTGGCAAGCACGTGAACAGGACCAGTGTTTTTATTCATCCAGTCTGTTCAAGAGCAAGAGAGACGTAAAAAGAGTACGAGCACAGCCAGCTTTTTAATGAATCACTCAGTGCTATTCATAGGTACAAAAACAACAATGTGAAGTAGAGATGCCAGCAGGCTTGGATGAAAAAGCCTATGTTACGAATGAGTGATTTTAATTGCTATTCTCAATTTTCTCAGAACCAGCGTAGAGAATCGGTGATGGGTCTGTGAAGTATTTCTTTCCTTTTTGATTTTAGGACTGACAAGGCCATCCATTTGTCAGAATAGGCTCTCATGGGTCTGGGCTTCTGGGTAATTCTAACCACATCTGAAACTTGTGCTGGATCAGTAGGAAGTCAGCTGTGCTCTTGGTTGACGTCACATTGGTGACCACCACCCCCCTGGTCAAACTGGTCAGTGAAACATCAACCAGGCCTTTCAAGTGACTAAGGCTGGAGAATTGAACAGTTGTAAGTTGTCAAAATAGCCCAACCGCAAGAAGGGTTCAGATGGTTCAAGAACCTTCCCAAAAATACATTTCAATTCAATATTTACGCAGACTGGGTTTGCTGAACACACATGTATTTTTTTTGTCATATTTCCCATCCCAAAGCAAGTATATTGATAGACTGATATTGACACAAGTATGCATGTTTCTGATTATGTGATTCTCAATCTCAATTTTGTATGAAATATGAAGAAAACAATGGTGTGTAAGTGGGCTTCAATTACATGAATGTTCAATTGATGCATAACACTTGTAGCTCCAACAGCCAACTTTGCTGCATGTCAACCCTGGTTAAATGGAGTGGTTAGACCAACAGTATATATAGGCTACTATAGCACAAAGCTACACATGGTAACCATGATCATTCCAGCATATTTGACGTTTTCTCATATTGGTCAACATCATACAGTAAATAACACAACGGTATGTGGCATTGTCTGGGGAACATAAAACAAGATTTATGGTTTGCCAGTGTTTTTTTTTCTAAAAATAAATTTTAGTGACATATGGCACCTGGCTTTATTTTAAAACCTCTTACATTTGCAGGTTTATGAATACCAGTATAAATCACACTTAAAAAATAAAAACAAAATAGATAATTAAAAAAAATCAACATTTTTTTATTTTTCCATTAACAAACCGATGTAAATGTAATGAATGCCTAAGCAAACTTCAAATTGCTTCAGTTGCTTTTTCCCCTCTTTCCCCTCTCAAATTTTACTGAGATCTTACCTTGAATATAGTGACACAGTGAAAAATTAACAGTCCACCCTGTCAACTAGCAATTATGAAATAAGATGGATCACCTCACCCTCTTTAGGTTTAACATTTTTAAGGTAAACTATAAATGTGTGCATGAATCGGTCCAAGGTTTCCTCTGTAGAGATAAGCAGATAAGAAAACGTAGACTGAACTCTCAGATATTTCACCAATTTAACATTCCAATTTCCTCCTCTATTTCGTGTTTGTTATGTTATGTCATACCCCACCCTCTCAAGGTCACACCACTGCTGAGTGATGCCTGAGTCAAAGTTGTTAGGGTTCCAGCAATAAGCCTTTGCAGCATTTTAATTTCACTGAACTATTTTTAGAATGCGATCTCTCTCAGAGGAAATGGAAGTTCTCACGTTGCGTTGCAACTGACACCTTTCAAATACAATATGCAAAGTAGGAAAAAGTATAACGATAACCAATTATGTGGTTTTTGATTTTTCCAAATAGTAGACATTTCTCTTTGAAATGACAAAGGTTTTCAATTTTATATTTTTACACCGATTCAAAATAAGCCTAAACTCCTGGAGAAGACAACTTGTGACGGCATATGAAGCGAAGTGTTGGCTTACAAAAGGATTCAAGAATTCAAACAACTTAATAAACTGCCAGAAGTTGTGATTACTATTATCTAACTTTTTAAAAAAGGACAGGGCCTACTGAGACTTAGCCAAAAACATTTACTCGGTCTAGAGGCATTCCTTCTCCATTAGCCATTTACATTATGGGAGAGCAGATCATAAAACCGCCACAGTTGGCATGGAAGTAGTGTCTAATGTGAACAGTGCTAGCCAAGCAAATATCATAAAGGAAGTGTACCAAGACTACAAAACATACGGGCACAACAAAATTCCTCCCATGCTCCATGAGAAAGTAATTTAATTGTGGTTTTGGACATGTACTATTTGTTTTCCCTGGCTGCAGTGGGCACGAAGACAAGGTGTGTACAAAGCCATCTACAAGTACTGTCAATATGGAAATATATCATTTCTATTGACTGCACTTCATGTATGTTTTTTTAAGAGACCGTGCTAATTTCTCACAGCTTTTCAATACCTGGAGGCCAGGATGGCAAAGGTTCAGAGTCAGATAGGACCAAATGCATCTTAATTTCATTCAGTAGACACGTCTGAAATAGTCTCACCATTGCACTCCTTTTATTGACAAGTTCATAATTTAGGCCAATTCTATTGTCATTTTTATGTATCACTTTGTATGAGAGAGTCAGATACACTACAGAGTCATTTAACAATTTGTCGCCCCCAAGTGGTAGCAAATAGGTAGCTTTGCTTCACTACAATTACTTTTGGTATTTTGTCCTTTGACTATTTATTGATGACAAGAAAATAAATTTTATATATATATATATATATATATATATATATATATATATATATATATATATATATATATATATATATATATATATATATATATATATATATATATATATATATATATATATATATATTTTTTTTTTTTTTTTTTTTTTTTTTACACATATACATATACACACACACACACACACACACACACTTGATACTATTTTCACTTTGTAACATTCAAAAACTGAACTTCATATTTCAAACACATTTTTTAAAGTAAATAAACAAAAACACAAACAACAACAACAAAAAAACATTCACAAAGTTGTGTACAGTCAAATCTCCAGGATTGTACATGGAAGTCATAACACCATCAGATTTTCCTGTGCACCATCAGTTTTTTGGTCAATGCCTGTGATGACCTCTGCATCAGTCTGTAAAACCAGGAAAACCAGATCTAAAGCTTTCCTCCATGCTTCCTGCTTCACACTCAGATTATCATAGATCTTTATTGCTGGTGCTTCACTGGTCTTTATGAGGGAGGGAATCAAAAAATCCTCTTGGTCACCTTCCAAGAAAAGTTGTGAGAACTTAGCAGTAATGTCTAGACTTTCGTTATAGTCCTGCAGTTGTTGGCTCACAGCAGTCCAAGCTTTGACTTTTGAAAGCTTTCCAGTGTTAACAATGACAGTGGCTATGTAATCTATTAAACCATCTGCCATGAGGTGCAACACTACATCCCTGTAAGGGTTAGCTGCTGTTTCTGCTTTGGTTTGTTGGACTGAGTCCCCATTCTTTTTTCCATTATGCTTGACATGGTGCTCTGCATGCTTTTGAAGGTGATGAACACAAAGCAGTTCTGTCACTCCACCACCTGGAAGGAGGACTTTGTCTTTCAGCACGTGGTGTAAACGATAAGCACATGCCCAAAATTGGTCTTCCAGAACCTGCAGCTTGCCTTGTACACAGCTTGTGAGGATCACTGTGACCAACTCATGGTTCACACCTGTAGAAATATTCACAGTTGTTAAAGGCTTCCTGTCATGGCTGCTGAGGTCCCTCCATATCACAACCTTCACTCCAGTACCAACACAGTGCTTACTCAACTGTGTGGTATAGCTCACTGGAATAGCTCCCGTTGCATTAGCGAATGCCTTCAAAACAGAAGCCTTCACTTTTCCCACCACAAGTATATGATGCTTACGACAGCACTGAATCACTTTCTCACCAACAAGCCCACTGACCAGTATCAGCTTCACTTTCAGGTTCAACAGAATTGCCACAACCTTTTCCATCCACTCTTGTTCTTTGCTTGAATTTGACAAATCCGACTGGTCACTCACACACTGTATACCTGCTGGCCTATTAAAGCCAAGATGGCGATAGGTCTCTGATAAATCTCCATTAATTAGAGCAACCTTCAAGTGCTGTTCTGTTAAGTGATGTGCAACTGAAGCCTGTTCAGAAGATAAGAGAACAACACAGCCTGGTAAAACGCACGCCTGGTCCTCTGGTAAACCAGGTAGCACACATGTCACCACTTTCGTAATATCAAATGTGGAACAGCTGATATCTTTCTGATTATTTTGTGACTGTATTCGGCTGGCTTCAACAACTAAATTCATTGCATCAACATAACCATGACTCAATCCCTCAGCAAGGGGTGCAATGTCAGGAAGCTTAGGCTGATGAGGTTGCAGTTCTGTGGATACATTTTCAGACTTTACTTTACAAAAGTGTCTGCTAAGCTTTATTTTCCTTTGTCCAATGGCATTTAGAGTCTTGTAACAAACTTTTGTTGTCCCTTGTAGATGGCATGATGCCTGTGAAGCCTCCACGATGGGTTTCTTTGACAGCTGAAGTCCTGAAGCATGAGATGTCGCAGTGCGGCTTTCTGACTGCTCCACACCAAGACCCACAGCTGAGACACTGCATTTCCTGCAAACATCCAAGCATATATCCATGCCTTCAGACATAGCTGAGATGATGTGTGCTACTGAAATTCCTCTCTGAAGGCACTCCAGAGCAGCACGGCTCCATACTCCTGCGAAAAACAGCAGGGATCCCGACCCTGTATGATAGACCTTCTGGTGAACTTGAATAGTCTCGTAAACCAACTGACCCACCGCGCAGGTCAGCTCCAGGTTCTCCAAGATGCGAAAACATGAGCACACAAGGGCTGACTGTCCACCCGTGTCATCTTGGACAAACTTGTACTTTTTATTGGGGCCCAATGAAGAATGTGTGATTCCTGCAAGCGCTGAGAGTTTCTGCAGTCCAACATGTTGTCGATGTTTTAGGATTGTACTTCCCAGCATTACTGGAGTGCCTGCATTTTAAAAAGGACAAGAAAAGTTTTATGTTTGTTCACCTTTTACCAAGTTAAACCCCAACAAATATTCTCTTTTTAGTTAATGAAACTGCAAAGTGAACATGGTCTATGTTAAATCTTCATCACAGTAACAAGCAGCAGTGGACAGTAACTAAGTGCAGGTACTGAACATGAGTTAAAATTCCAGGCACTTGGACACTTGTGGTTTTTCTTTATACCTCTACTTAATTTAAGTTCAGAAGGGAATAATGTACTCCTCTACATGTATCTGATAGTACATATAGTAACAAGTTACTTGATCAGCTTTTACATTAAGACATTAATAGTACAATATTATATACATATAAAACACTCTAGTCCATTATGCATAATGAGTACCTTTACTTTTGATACTTTACATAGCTACTAATACTAAACTTTGAATGATCTGTAATAAGGAATACATTGTGTTAGCCTACAATAACAATATTGGCTACAAAGGCAGCTACAACAGTAATTACACTTTTTCTCAGTCACTTTGGTACATTAGAATTGAAATACTCAAAACTACTTGCTCAACCACCACATCAAGTAATCACTTGTGCGCATAATAAAAGCATTTTCTCATTATTTTGAACAAACTGCAAATGCTTTGACACATTTACACAAATTATTATGTACAACTGTCTGTTGTTTCGTACATTACCAATTGCTTATGGCTTGTGGATCACAATGTATAATACTGGTTCTCTGTTGAATATTCTTACCCCCAAAACATCTAGGCTTGATCATTGCATAAGTCACTACAAGCAAAATGGTTGAGCATGTTTTCATAATCTTTCAAGTATATTTTCTATACATCTCTATTTTTTTTGTAAATGTGTCCTGAATTGATGAAGATATGTGATGTAGATGAGAATCAGTTGCCCTTCAGACAAAATTGTGTTTCTTATGTTCATATTTTTTTATTTGGCAATTTTTTCCAGATGTAATTTGTCCAGATGTGCTATGCAGTGCTGTAAAACAGTCTTGTCTATTTCTTTTCTGTATTACAATGACATGCTCTGTCAACAAATTACAGTACAAACAGTAAACAGTAACTGTGAATCCTGTCCAGTCTCTTCAAATGTATAGCTTTCTTCTGTTGAGTGCTGCCTTGTGCATTTTCAATCATTGTCATCCAAACCTTAGCCAATCTTTACAATAGAAAATACATGAGCACACTGTTTATACTGAAAACATGGCTAAACATTTTTGACTATCTTGTTTGTAAACAGTACCTCAAGGACTTGTCATTCTGATGCACTGACATGTTCACTGACATATTTACTTTTCAGAGAGACAGTCTAAAGCTGATGATACACGGGGCAACATTTGAGCAATGTTGCTGGGCAATCTTGCAAGTGGCAAGCCCGACTATGTTTTGAACGGATAGTGGCGGTGCGGGGCTGGTGGTGGGGGAAGGGGATTACGGTAGTAATCTTTACTCAGTACCATTGACGACAACGTTGCCCGGCACGATTGCTCTAAAAGTTGCTCTGTGTATCATCAGCTTTAGGGTTTAGAGTAGGCTCTAAAGAACTGTGATCTTTTTTTCGAGAAATGCACTTACTGATTTGCAAATGTTAAGGATAGGATTTGAGAAATGTCTCAAAGGGACTGAGAAAAACTAAATTACCACAGTAGAACACAAAAACGCCACAACATCAGAAGGAACAAGTGACATTGGGAACTCAACAGACTTGCAATTAGCCTACACACCACAGGAGTAGCTTGCAAGCTATGCTAACAAGCTAATATCTTAAAACAGATATAATGACTTTACTTCTAAATTCAGCGAGTCCATAACGAGGCTAAAGCAAACTGAATCCAGCCTCCAAAAATAAGCTTCTGCAAAACAAACGTATCTATAAATTAAAGAGTGTAATGTTACCTTAATTTAATAATGTATGTTGTCTGTTCCACAGCCCAGCTGCCCTGTCGATTAAGCACTGCGCAAGCGCGTTGTTTCCTGGTTGCTGGGAGACAAGAAACGATCTCAACTATTGGTGGACACTATTATAACCCGCCCATCTCCTTTTGCAATTGGCCAATATGCTCTCGTCACGGCGCTTTCATGGTTTCTATTGGCTGTCTCTCGTGCCATTTGAAAAAAATACAGCCGTTGCTGACTGCTTTGTTGACATCCGATAATCAAACACAACATTGAAGCTTCCCTTGCTGAATCGTTAATATAAATGGTAAGCCTTCGCATTAATGTCTAGCATGAAATGCTCGCTGTGAGAACTTTTTAAAAGCTAGAACTTAAGTTAGATAAAGCGGTTGATTTTGACCTGATTTCTGTTTGTTCTCGTAGAACAGCCTGCAAGCTAACGGTCGCTAAAGTTAGCATATAGTAACGATAGTAACAGTTGACTATAAACCATAGACTGTAGCTATAAACTCCAAAAACCTGTGAAAACATCACATGTGGGTTTCTCTGCTGCACCTGGGCTAAAGGCTAACTGAACAGCCTTGTGTGAAGTAGTAAGCAGGTATTAATGTTTGCTTTGTTCAGGCTTCAAGTTACCGAAAACCAGGTTCTTCGACTAGCCAAAGGAAAAAGGCAGGTCCCAAAATCGAACTGACTGAGGAGCAAAAGCAAGAAATTAAGGAGGCGTTTGACCTCTTTGACACAGATGGAACTGGAACAATAGACGTGAAAGAGCTAAAGGTTAGTTCCTGGTTTAGTATGCATTGGATTGGATGTATATATTAACTAATACCACAGCAGTGCCACAGCAGCCTCATGTTTGGGGTGTATCTCTGCCACAGGTTGCCATGAGAGCTCTTGGGTTTGAACCAAAGAAAGAAGAAATCAAGAAGATGATTGCAGACATTGATAAAGAGGGATCTGGAACAATTGACTTCAGTGATTTTCTCAGTATGATGACACTGAAGATGGTGAGAATAACACATACACATAACACAAACTTCTTAGAAATTGACAATTGGTCATTTCTAGCCATGGAAAGACTATGTTTATCATTTCATGAAGTTACAAATCTTGCATCTCATCACTATTGGTTGCCAGTTGCTATTAAAACAATATTACCCCACAAATACATTTCTTCAAAATCTTTCACAGTGAAATCCAGTGTTTGATGTAGTGTTTGAACATTGACAAATACCATTCATGCAAATCACACTTCATTTTTGAGCAGTCACAGAAAATTCATCTTAAACACATCTTGCATCTAAAATATTGTGTTTTAGATGCAAGATGTGGATTTAAAAAGTGTAAATTGAAGCTGTAATGTGTCAGTCATTATGTGTTTGTTGGGTTTTCATCATTAATAGAGTGAAAAAGACTCCAAAGAAGAAATAATGAAGGCTTTTCGGCTGTTTGATGATGACTGCACAGGAAAAATCTCATTCAAAAATCTGAAGAGAGTTGCCAAGGAGCTGGGTGAAAACCTCACAGATGAAGAATTGCAGGTATTGTAGTTTGTAATGATATACAATATAATTGCAAGGGGTGTAAAATTCACAGTTCGGTATGTACCTTGTTTTTGGGGTCACGGTTCGGTGGTATAGCTGAAAAAACGGATGTGTGTTTAATGAAAAACCATTTTCATACTTTTACTCATTTAATTACATGGATGATTAACTGGTGCATTAATGTGCGACATTAGCTTGTAAATGAATTGCTGTTTGTTTTTTGTTTTAAAGAGAATGTATAAAATGGAACCTATAACCTCCTTGAGACATTCTCTTTATAGTTTCTGTTATGCGATTGTTGTTGCAGACTCCCAATGCTCATGCTGCGTCTGTTATTACCTACGTGCCCCTCCTGCCCCGACAGGTTGACAACCGTGAACCGTAACTTGTGAATAGTAAAATGACCTTATATCATACCCAACGTTACTATGAACTAGACTGATAGAGTTGTTTCTCTCTTTCTCTCTCATTTCCTCACTCCCCTTATGATGTTATGTTCTTACACTTGGGTACCGTGACGCCGTGTTTGACACAGTTATTGAACATACTGCAGTAGACTTTGTTTGTTATCCTTTTAGGAAATGATTGACGAGGCAGACAGAGATGGAGATGGTGAGGTCAACGAGCAGGACTTCTTGAGGATAATGAAGAAGACCAATCTTTATTGAACCTGTTGAGTGTGTTACAGTCTTGATCTAAGACCTTTTTTTAAGATTCACTTTTGAGTCTAAACAGTTTAAGCAATAGCTTTTTGTGGGACTTATGCAGATTTGTTTAGTTTGTAAATGATTTAACATACTGTATCTTTGCACAGTTCTTTCTACAATGCAAGACAAATAAATATATTTCATCATAGATGATTTGTCTGTTGTTTTACGTATACCTTGGTTTGTCTGTGTCAGGATTGTATTTGAATTGCATATAAACATGCAGTATCAAGTTACAAGAGTTTTATGTTTCCGTGTCTATATAAGAAAGGCTCCTCTCGGACAATGTTTTACAAGGTCTCTATGCAAACCCTGGGCAGCAACTCTAGAAGTAAGTGTTGTGGTTTTGAAAGTGAAGTTAATTTCAGTACACTGTACACTGCAGTACATTCTGCACAGCGATGCGTGTCAATAATGTCAGATGTTGGGGAACAGACAGTGAAAGTCATATGACTAAGTTAATGGTGACTAACCATAATTATACTGTAGACAGAAATGACGAGCCTGAACATGAGATGAGTAACTCAATAAAAGTCACTCTCACTTTGTGCTTTCAGTTACTGAACCAAGTCATTGTCTGTAGAAGATACTGAACAATGCTGTCTTACCTACATGTTCTGATCATCTTGTAGGAAATATGCTCCTGTTGATTAATTATAATATACAGCGGAAGTCTGGTTTTGACCAAAACGCTATACCTTGTTAAAATAAACAGGATATTGTAGTGACGTGTTTTTCCGAGCCGTCAGACAGTTGTCTATTATTTTGAGGATGCTTGCCACTGATTATGAAAGTTCTGATAACCTGTTCTAGACAGTGAAGGAACATCCGGCGGAAAATATGAAAAGTTTTGTCCCAAGATGAGAGATCCATTTTTTGAAAAAATATTCCACATATAAAATGTTTGATGTTATTAAAAGAGAAATATAAGCACATTCAAAGACTGATATACTTCCGAAATTTTTTTACGAACTACATCCTCAATATATTAATGATACTTAATGATAAGGTTTTTGTTTTTTTTAACATGTGTGACTCAAACTAATTCATATTTTCTTGAACCTAAGAAATATATAGGAATGGGCGCAAACCAGTTTAACACTTTACCTAAATTAAATAAAGTTCCAGGATATGAAATTTCTATGGATTCCTTTCATTTTGCTCTTCTGTTGAGCTGAAACTTGGAATTGATATAGATGAGCCAAATCAAAAGGCCAGTATTTCAATAGTTCATTTTATGTTACCCCCTATGACTCAAATCCATCCACCTTCTCGGAGTTCAAAGTACACCGCATACCAGGTGAGAGCTGAAAAACAGTGCTGAAGCTCACTTTCAGTGGACACACAATTACAAAACTGCACCTTAATGAATTACATCTTGATATTATGGGATATCTTCCCAAAAAACCTAATTCAGTGTGCCAGCTCTTCAGATGTTGTCATGGATTTCAACTGTGCAGCATGCAAACTACCATAGTTTAAAGCCTTCTTTCAAAAATGACATATTAGGTTTGAGAAGATTCTACTTACTTTACCAGTATTTTCAAGACCTAAAACATTCTTACTTTAACAAATAAAAATGTAGAGGGTACTTTACGTGCATGGAGCAGTCATTTTAGGAGCGTAGGTGTTGTTCAAACGGTGGATTTTTGATTTTACAACAAAACTTTCCAATTGGCATTGGCTGTTTTTGTACAATGGCAGTTTCATGGCCTTTAATATTTTCACAGCCCCTCAGCTGTTATTCCCCTACTGTTGTGGTTAAACAGTATTCACTCAGTCTACACTCCCACTGCTCCACTGCTCTTTTTTCTTTTCCCATAAAATGATCAATTTCCAAAACAACAAGGCGCTGCGAGCCTGTCGTTGCTGGTAATAGATCATTATATTATTAACTGTTAAAGGTCAAGAATGTGTCACCATTATGTAGACAGCCTAAATTCACAAGCCCCTTTCTAGTAAGACAAGTCAAAGACAAGTAACCGTCATTGCGCCTAGAAGAAGCAGAGTGACTGCATCAGTGGTATGTTTGCTTTTTAACCTCAGTTGTATTTTTTAAATAGCTGTTTGAATGCTAACATTTAGCAGTGTTCTGTCTTTTAATATGTGTGATGTACAGTGTGATGAAGCCAGTGTTTCTGAAATTCCCTTTGAAGTCATTAGTTTTGTATGTAATCAATATATATTATAATAGTAAGGTGTTGCTTCATATGTTTTCTAATTTCTAATCATCCTCACATCCTCTGATCAGATTTCTTTTATAATTTACTATTGCACACCTGACGCATTTACATGTTTCACGTTTTAATGATCGACTTCTCTGAGGAGATTTGTTTCCACCCCTTAACCAATCACCTTCAAACAGCAGAACAGGTGAGCACATCTGTGGTGGGAAAAAAGGTTGGTCGACAAGGAGCATTCAAGAACTTGATTGGTAAACAGTATCGTGTTGTATCACCACTGTACCTGAGGTAAAGAACATGCTGTCAGGTTTTGGTACTACAAGCCAGATTCGATATAACATGTAGTAAAAAATGTAATGTAAAAAAAAAAAACACACTCAACATAAGAGTTTGTAATCTTCAAGTTTTTCAACAACCATGTATATTTTAGTGGACTGTTTCTGTCCATCTTACCTTGCCTTATAGGATCAGGAGTATGTATTTTACAGTATTAACGTGCATGGTGGAAGGAGTTAGCAGACCCTCAGAACTTGGCAGGGCTACTGTTCGGATATGTCTGCAGTGTTAACTTGGGAGATGATTCTATAGCTAATAAAAATAAGTGTTTGTGTGGACACTACGTTTCGATATAAAAGCCCAACATTTTAAGTC